GTACAGTGTTTGTCCTTTTGTGATTGGCTTATTTCACTTAGCATAGTATGTTCAAGGTTATCCATGTTGTAGCATGTGTCATCATTTCCTGCCCTTCTTTTTTTTTTTTTTTTTGGAGACAGAGTCTCGCTCTCTAGCCCAGGCTGGAATGCAGTGGTGCGATATCGGCTCACTGCAACCTCCGCCTCCTAGGTTCAAGCAATTCTTCTGCCTCAGCTTCCTGAATAGCTGGATTACAGGCGCCTGCCACCATGCCCAGCTAATTTTTGTATTTTTTCACAGAGATAGGGTTTTACCGTATTGGTCAGGCTAGTCTCGAACTACTGACCTCAGGTTATCCACCCACCTCAGCCTCCAAAGTGCTGGGATTACAGGCATGAGCCACCTCGCCTGGCCAATTTCCTGCCTTTCTTAAAGCTGAATAATACTCCATTGTATGCACATTTTGTTTGTCCATCTATCTGTGGATGTATATTTGGATTACTTCACCTTTTGGCTATTGTGAATACTGCTGCTGTGAACATGGATGTGTAAATACCTGTCCAACACCCTGTTTTCAATTCTTTTGGGTATATACCTGAAGTGGAATTGATACGTTGTATGTTAATTCTGTTTTATTTTTTGAGGAACTGGCATATTATTTTTCTTCTAGTTTTTGTTGTTGTTGTTTTTAACTTCTAGAGATGGGGGTCTCGTTAAGTTGCCTAGGCTGATCTTGAACTCCTGGGTCTACCTTGGCCTTCCAGAGTGTTGGGATTACAGGCATGAGTCACCTTGCCCTTCCTGGAACTGCCATATTGTTTTCCATAATAGCTGCACCATTTTACGTTCCCCTCAGCAATGCACAGGGGTTCCAGTTTGTCTACATCCTTGCCAACATTTGCTATTTTCTGTTTCTGTTTTTCTTTTCCTAATAGCCACTATAATGATTGTGAAGTACATCCATGTCTTTTTTTAAATAAGCTTTTTGTTATGGAAATTTCCCAACATATAAAAAAAATAGGGCAAATAATGAACTACCCACATATCCATCATCTAGAGTCAATAATTATGAACACTTCACCAATCTTTTTCACTTATAGTCTGTCTCTCCTTTTCCTGTTGTTGCAATGCAGATCACAGTCATATACTTTTATTTATTGTACTTTATTTATTTATTTATTTTTTTGAGACGGAGTTTCGCTCTTGTTGCCCAGGCTGGAGTGCAATGGCACGATCTTGGCTCACCGCAACCTCCGCCTCCCGGGTTCAGGCAATTCTCCTGCCTCAGCCTCCTGAGTAGCTGGGATTACAGGCACGCACCAGCATGCCCAGCTAATTTTTTGTATTTTTAGTAGAGACGGGGTTTCACCATGTGGACCAGGATGGTCTCGATCTCTTGACCTCGTGACCCACCCACCGCGGCCTCCCAAAGTGCTGGGATTACAGGCGTGAGCCACCGCGCCCGGCCCTATTTATTGTACTTTAATACACTGTTATACAGGTTGAGTATCCCTTATGCAAAATGCTTGGGACCAGAAGTGTTTTGGTTTCCTAGCTTTTTCTGATTTTGGAATATTTGTTTTATATTTACCAGTTGAGCATCCCAAATCTGAAAATCCATAATCCAAAATACTCCAGTGAGCATCTCCTCTAAATGTTGTGTTTGGTGCTCAAAAGTTTTCAGTTTTGGATTTTGTTAATGACTAAAAAACATATCCATAAAACCATATTATATGTAAATCAGATGTCTAGTCAGTATTACCCACATATTTATGTCCCATTTCTTTTAATCTGATGATATAAGAGGCAGAGGGTTAACAGATCACCCAAAGATGACAACTTATGTTAGTAACTGAGTTGTAGTACTTTTATGAGTTATAGTTTTTAATTTGTTAACTCTATGAGTTTAAACCATTAATACTCTTTTCTTTTTCCTGATATTTGCTGGCATTTGTATATATCATAAGCGGTACAATAGGCCACTTTAGTAAATAAGGTGAGCTAGCTCTGGGTTACCTTGTGTTTCAATTATATTTATGTGTCAGTTTTTTTAAACTCACCATTTTAAGGGCCTCTAGAAGATACACCTGAAGTCAGATCACAGGAAGAAATTTTATCTAGCCTTCTAGGGTCTCTAATAGAAGGTGCTGCTAGAGATATTTACATTTTGACTTTGTTAGAGGTGTGAGTAATTGTATATTTGCAGCTATGCATATGATACTGATTAACATTAACTAACATTAATCTCAGTGTAAAATTTTATAATCCTTTTTACTGTAACATACTTAACAGGATTTAGGAATCCTCTACTAGCAAAATCAAGTCGTTGCTATGTGAGCTCTTTAATATTGGATCATTTGGAATTCTAAGCCACAGCAGAGCCAACCAAGGGTTGTGGGAAGAGAGAGAGAGGGAATAAACAGTTATTATTAACTCTTTTCCTCCCTTCAGTTTTGTTGTTGTTGTTGTTGTTGTTTTTTCTTTTTGAGACAGAGTCTTGCTCAGTTGCCCAGGCCGGAGTGTAGTGGCCTGATCTTAGCTCGCTGCAACCTTTGTCTCCCAGGTTCAAGAGATCCTCCTGCCTCAGCCTCCTGAATAGCTGGGATTACAGGCACACGCCACCACACCTGGCTAATTTTCTTGCATTTTTTTTTTTAATAGAGACGAGGTTTCACCATCTTGGCCAGGCTGGTCTTGAACTCCTGACCTTAGGCGATCCACCTGCTTCGGCCTCCCAAGGTGCTGGGATTACAGGCATGAGCCACCATGCCCAGCCCCTTCCGTTTTCTTTTCTTTTCTTTTCTTTTTTGAGACAAAGTCTAGCTCTATTGTCCAGGCTGGAGTGCAGTGGTGTGATCTGGGCTTACTGCAATCTCTGTCTCCCAGGCACAAGTGATCCTCCCACCTCAGCCTCCGCAGTTGCTGGAACTACAGGTGCCTTCCACTATACCCAGCTAATTTTTTATATTTTTTTGTAGAGCTGCAGTTTCACCACATTGCCCAGGCTGGTCTTGAACTTGTGAGCTCAAGTGATCCGCCCACCTTGGCTTCCCAAAGTGCTGGGATTGCAAGTGTGAACCACCGGTCCTGGCCCCTTTTGTTTTTTTGTTTGTTTGTTTGTTTCTTTTTTTTTTTTTTGAGATGGGGTCTCGCTCTGTTGCCTAGGCTGGAATGCGGTGGCATGATCTCAGCTCACTGCAACCTCCGTCGCCCCTTGGCTCACTGCAACCTCTGCCTCCTGGGTTCAGGCGATTCTTCTGCCTCAGCCCCCTGAGTAGCTGGGATTACAGGCACCTGCCACCACGTCCCGCTTATTTTCTGTGTATTTTTAGTAGAGATGGGGTTTCACCATGTTGGTCATGCTGGTCTCGAACTCCTGACCTCATGATCCACCCACCTCAGCCTCCCAAAGTGTTGGGATTATAGGCGTGAGCCACCTCGTCTGGCCTCCCTTTTAATTTTCTTAATTTGCACAGAAGACACCAGTGTATGATAGCCATATGACTTTGTATAACATTAGAAGGAACTCTTATTCAAGATACACGGAAAAGAATACAATTTATGATTCCATTAATTTTCAGGTATGAGAATTCGAGTCTGCTGTCAGGCACAAATTAAATGAGTTAAAAAGGCAGAGTTGATACTTTCCCTATGGCTCTATTTACATTATTTTTTATTTATATGCTGTTTTACTATTTACTGATTTTATTTCATTGAACATAGCTTATATCCTTGCTTAGTAAATGACCTCAGTCACTATGAGCATAGAGGCTTCTGAGTATTAAACAGTAATACTAAAATTATTTCCCCTTCTCCTTTAGTTGTTGTGATAATAGTAATGATAATGATAGCAATTAGGTAGTACTGACCCTTATGTGCCACTTAACAATGTGCCAAGCAAAAACTAAGTGCTTTTTAGTATTAACTCATTTAATCCTTATAATAATCCAAGGAGATAGGTATTATTATTTTCCTTTTACTGATGAGGGATTGAGGCCCAGAGAGGTTAGTAACTGCCTTCTCCAACTACAAATAACTAGTAAGTGGCAGAGCTAGGAAATGAGCTGAGGCAGCCTGGCGCCAGGGTCTTTCCTCCTAACCATTACACTGGACTGTACTTACTTGACACCCATGTAAGTAAAGGGAAACGTGAGATAAAAATGCTTTTAACATCTTTGTGGGTTCTACGGAACTTATTATTTGTTCATTCAGTGCTCCCTGTGGAATCAGTGATTACAGAGAGAACATTTAATCTCAAAGTATTCATCCCTATTTTCAAACTAGTATTTTCAGATCTGTTCTTGGAGACCTTGCATTTAGAAAAAGTACACTTGAACTTTTTAGTCGAATTGGCAGATCAAGAGCTCACAGACAGGATATTGCCTTTGAGTATTTATATTGTCCTTGCTGACCCCTGAAGCAGTAATTTTGATAGATCACAATGTTTCCACTAGAGTACAGCAGTATTAGGGGTTCTGACTTCAAAGTGTGTATGTGTATGTTTTATATGTATTTTTGTAGTTAGACTACATTTCCACAAATGGAACCAATCTTATACAAATTCTGAAAACCTTTTAGAGCCATTTAAATCCAAGAAATATCTAAGCATTTTGAAGTAGAACTGAACAATCAATGCAAAATGTTACCTTTCTAGAGTCTTGTGATAAGTAAAATAAATAAAACAACCTGCTCAATTTTCAGTGCTTTAAAGTTCTGGCCTAAAGGACCTCCTTTTAATCTTGCAGAATTAGTTTTTACTTGGACATGGATTTTCATACCCTTCTTACCTTTAAAACTGAGCTAATAGCTGCTATTTGATAAGAAAACCAGTGCTCTGTTTTCTTCTTTTTTTGTTTTGAGTTTTGTAAATCTGGCTGTGCTCTCTGTTAGAATACATGTACCCTGGTGCTTTGGGTCAGTGAAGTGTTTGGCAGGAGGGAGAAACAGATCAAAATTTCTATCCATAAGAAATTTTATGGAGGTGGTTGACTTTCTTATGTTAATTTTCTTTCCTTTAGGTCTATGAAGGCCTAGACATCATCACCAACAAGGTTTCTGCCCAGGAGCAGAGAATCTGCCGGCACCACATGATCAGCTTTGTGGATCCTCTTGTGACCAATTACACAGTGGTGGACTTCAGAAATAGAGCAAGTGCTCTGATATCCTTAGGAAAGGCACTGGCTGGGTTTCGTGGGTGAAAGCAGCCCAAGCCAAGAGAGAATTTTTCTCGGTAGCAGCAATTTCTTCTCAGAAGGGGCACCCAAGGCCTAACTACTGTTGGATGCCATCCCCATCAGACTATGAGCTGAAAGATACAGTGCCTTTGTCACTCAGATTCTTGTCCTTAGACTGAGTGGCGTCATCATCCTCTGGAAACCTGTTAGAAATGCTGATTCTTGGGCCCCACCCCAGACCTACTGAATTCGAATCTGCATTGTAACAGGAGTCCCTGGTGATTCATAACACACATGAAAACTTGAGAAGCACTGTTTTAGTGATAAGAACACTGATTTAAGAATCAGAAATTTTGGGTTATAGTGCTCGAACTGCCTCTGTTGGCTGTGTGAATTTTATTGGGTAAAGCATTTCCTTAACCCCACTGAGCTTTGGTTTTCTATCCTTTAAATGGAGATGCGAAGTTTACCTATAAATATAATGGAGTTATAGTTAGAATTTCAAAGTGATTGTTAGATGAGAGAGGACTGGAAAATATGGTTCTGGGTAAAACCAAGAAATTTTTGCAAAAAGAATAATATAAGGGGGATTGCCCTATGTGTTAACATGCAGACTGCCTTTAGTATCTGGATTGCTATATATTAAAATATTGAAAAGTCATAATAATTATAATAGGATGGAACTTTTTTTTTTTTTTTTTGAGACAGAGTTTCACTCTTGTCAGCCAAGCTGGAGTGCAGTGGCACAATCTTGGCCTCCCAAAGTGCTGGGATTACAGGCATGAGCCACCGTGCCCGACCTAACTTATTTAGTACTAGATATATTTGTGTCACAGAATAGAAAACCCAGATACAGATTCAAATGAAAGTGTGTAAATTTTTTTTTTCTGGAGACGGTCTCACTCTGTTGCCTAGGTTGGAGTACAGTGGCACTGTCATGGCTCGTTGCCGCCTTGACCCCCTGGGCTCAGGTGATCCTCCCACCTCAGCCTGTCAAATATCTGGGACTACAGGTGTGTACCACCACACCCAGCTAATAATTTTATTTTTTGTAGAGATGGTTTTCGCTATGTTACCAGGCTGGTCTTGAACTCCTGGGCTCAAGGCATCCTCCCGCCTCGGCCTCCCAAAGTGCTGGAATTACAAGTGTGAGCCAACACACCTGGCCCCAGTCAGCCTTCTTGATTTGACAGGTGAAGGTACTAGATACTGAGGCCCAAAGGGGAGAAGGATATTTGCTCAATATCACAGTCATTTCATGGCTTGCACAAATAAGTTAAACCTTTTCATGTGAAGTATTCCCTATCCCATCTTATTTCCACTCTCCCCTTTTCTGGAATCTTACCATTTTTTCCTTCTCCTTTTCATTTCATTGCTTACTTTCCCTTTGTTAATTATACTACAGGTTAAGCATCTGAAAATATAAAATCCAAAATGCTCCAAAATCTGAAACTTTTGGAGTGCTGACATGATGCTCAAAGGAAATGCTCATTGGAGCATTTTGGTTTTCAGATTTTCAGATTTGGGATGCTCAACCAGTAAACATAATGCAAATAATTCAAAATTCAAAAAAATTCAAAATCTGAAACATTTCCTTGGTCCCATGTAAGGAATATTTAACCTGTATATAATTGATGTTTTATCTTGCTGTGCAAATTGTATGCTCCCTATACTTAATTTAAAGGGGGAAATAGATAATTTGTTTTCTGTTTTTAAAACAAAGATTTTTTTTCTTTATGATCCTTGATTGGCCCAAGGATCTTTCTTCCCTCCCTACCTCAGCCACTTAATGGTTAGTGGAATTCTAGTAGAAAAGAGCTGATCTGTCTCTGTGCCTGCACATTGGCTGGCAAGAAGAAGTGTATAAATGATGATTTACCTGGATATTAAAAGTCTTTTAAAAAAAAATTACTTTCAGCCATGCACAGTGGCACATGCCTATAACCTCAGCACTTTGGGAGGCTGCAGTGGTCGGATTGCTTGAGCTCAGGAGTTTGAGATCAGCCTGGGCAACATGGTGAAACCCTGCCTCTACAAAAAATACAAAAAGTAGCCAGGTGTGGTGGCATGTGCTTGTAGTGCCAGCTACTTGGTGGTGGGGTGCAGAGGTGGGAGGATGGCTCGAGCCCTTGGAGGTCAAGGCTGCAGTGAACTGTTTTCATGCCTCTGCACCCCAGCCTTGGTGACAGAGTGAGACCCTGTCTCAAAAAAAAATTTTATTCTCAGGAAAAAAAGGCCTTCTTAAAGCAGATAATTATCTGTTCAATGGAGATTCTAAAGAGAAAGATTTAAAATAGCAGAGATAAAAAAAATAGTGGCTAAAGTAAATTGAGTGCTTACTGTTTTTTTTGTTGTTGTTTGTTTGTTTGTTTTGAGACGGAGTTTCGCTGTTGTTGCCCAGACTGGAGTGCAATGGCACGATCTCGGCTCACCGCAACCTCCGCCTCCTGGATTCAAGCAATTCTCCTACCTCAGCCTCCCGAGTTGCTGGGACTACAGGCACGCACCATCATGCCCAGCTAATTTTTGTATTTTTAGTAGAGACGGGGTTTCACCATGTT